CCACTGTAGTAGGGACGGGAAACTGAGCGGTGGTTCGTGTTGAAAGGGCTGGAGAGCGGTCTGGGGCGCGAGGCAGGCGTGCGGCCTGCACCAGCGTGGGTGGAACAGCAAAGCGCTTGAGGGGGGATCAGGGCAGGATTTGAGCCACTTGCAGTCTGCCTAATCCTGAAATTCTTCAAAGCAGCCTCAGGACCGTGGTATGGAGGAGACCGGCAGTTCAGGGCTTCTGTTGCAGCCGGTCCAAAAGAAGCTGTAGTCAAGTGGACACTAAAAAGCTGAGTGGACTAAGGTGACGAGGGAAATGTTGTACCGGGGAATTGGCAAAGTAGGGAAACCTGTGTTTCCTTGTTTGTCAGAACCAGAAGGGAATGAGGTGCTCGCTGAGGACTGTTCTGGTGCTGCTAACTGCCCATGCCATGCCAAAGACAACAGCAGCTGGCCTCGGAGACAAAGCACCTCTCCTCTGCCCGAGAAGGCCGTGAAGGAGCACCACAGGAGCAGATGGTTTCCAGCCTCTTGAAAACGCGCTGCTGTGCAGGTGTAGGCGAGAGCGAGGATGGCATCAGTGCCAGAGAATGGGAGACGGTTATGGGGGCTGAGTGCAGTGTCTAAAGGTGTCACCTGTAGAGTGTGCAAAGTGGCAACCTTTGTGACCAGACCTGGAGCAGATCAGAGCTGACTGCACCCAGGAGCTGGAAGTCGTCATCACCGCACAGAGGAACTGTACGTCCTTGAGGGTGAGGAAGAGGAAGAGCAGTAGACGTAGGAGAAGTCAGGGCACGAAGGGGAGGGATTGCCAGTGCTTGCTGTCCTCCACCAGCCAGGAGGATGTTCAATGGAGTTAGAGGCTGAGGAGTTAAAAACGAGTTAACTTCCTCTGGGCCACTACATTAAGAAGCCACCAAGCTGAACGAGCAATCTGGGAAAGAAATGACAGAGAAGGGAAGTATCCTGAGCTCCAGTCAGAAGTATTTGGGCAGGGCATTAAATCCTGGTCTGGAGCGGTATGGCTGGTCACACCGTGCCATCAGCTGCTGCAGAGGTTGTGCCTTTGCGGTGCTGAGTGCCCTTGCTCTTCTGGAGATGGATGCAGGCTTCGTGGGTCTGGTGTAACACACGTCTTTTGAAAAACCTTGCTAGGAACACGGTGTTACCGGGCTAGCTTCCCAAGAATTGTGTGCATGGGACAGCACTGCACGGGAGGCGAGATCTGTTCTGCTGTAATGAAAACGTTGCCTCACCTGAGCTGCTGTGAACAGTTGCTTCCTGAACAGGAAGATCAGAGTCTGCCTCACCGCTGGCTGGCTGCCGCTGCCCGTGCTCATTCTGCCCACTGACACAGCCATCATCTAGGACACGGGGGTTTGAAATTGCACCCAAAGAGACTCGAGTGCATGGCTCTGTAGGATGACTTCTCACTTCAGTACCTTTTTTTTTTTTCCCCAGCTTCTCACAATCTCCGGCATTGGAGCTGGACAAATTCCTGGAGGATGTAAGGTACGAGGGTTTTTTTCAAGGGCAGCTTTAACTATGTTTAAGACTGGAAAAATTTAGGAGAGGCATAACCTCAGACTCTGGTCCTTTCTTGTAGGAATGGTATCTACCCACTCACAGCTTTTGGGATGCCGCGACCCCAGCAGCCCCAGCAAGTAGTGGTGAAGTCTCCCATTGCTCCACCGTCAGTGAAAACCCCGACTCCCGAGCCCGCTGAGGTGGAGACCCGCAAGGTGAGAGACGGCAGCTCCATCCCTCCCCTCGCCGGCAGCGGTGCTGTGCAGCAGCAGTCAGTCATGAGGTGTCTCTGCTCCCGTTGCAGGTGGTGCTGATGCAGTGCAACATTGAGTCAGTAGAGGAGGGAGTGAAGCACCATGTATGTTCCCATCTTCTGGCTGAGCGTGTTGTGTGTGTGTGTACCAGGGCCGCTGTGCAGAGCGCGTGGCTCCGGCGTGACCCCCTGCTGCCACAGCTGCCATCTTTGGGGCCCAAAGCCAGACCCAGGCCCGTGCCTGTGGCCGACCTGGCACGTAGCACATGTTTTTGGCCCACACCCAGATTCAGGCTTCCTCCGCAGGATGGTGCTCGTGGCTGTGGTTTGGAACGGAACTGGCTGTGGCTGTTCTGTGAGAGTGCTGTGGGGCTCTGGAGGGGGGTGGTTCCTATCCTGATGGGGATTTCTGGGGATGCTCCTGGCTGTGGCCACCATGCAGCCCCTCATGAGAACTTCTCTGCCCTGCAGTTAACACTGCTGCTGAAACTGGAAGACAAGTTGAATCGACACTTGAGCTGTGACCTGCAGCCCAGTAAGTACCTTTCTTCTCATGCTCTGGTGTGCTGGGGCCAGCAGCACGCTCAGACCAGGGACTTACACCCATCCCTGTGTTGCAGATGACAACATCCAGGAGCTGGCAGCTGAACTGGTCCAGCTTGGATTCATCAGTGAGGTAAGCAAGCCTGGGGCTTGGGTGGGAATGTAAACCTGAAATGGTTTATGCCAGACCAGTCCTCTCCTGGCTGGGGAGGTAGGAGAACTAAGCCGTGTCGCTGCCCGGGTGCCCTGGCAGGCTTAGGCCAAGCTCTTGGCTCTGCATGGGCTGGGCCTAGCCCTCACTCCAGCTTGTTCTTCCCAGGCTGACCAGAGCAGACTTACCTGTTTACTTGAAGAGGCGTTCAGCAAGTTCTACTACACCCGGAACGGAGCCCTGACGGCAGTGACTGTGTCATCTTAGCACCCCTCGGCTCCCAGGCGGCCGGTGTGGCTTTGTTGCCTGCGACCCCTCCGTGTCTGTCCATCACTGTAGGGCATCAGCAAGACCCCAGCTGCAGTGCTTGGAAGCTCATCCTGCATGTGCCGTGGCTGGGCTCAGTGACAATCCTCCCTGCCCGCCTATTAAAAGGGACTTTGTGCATCAGTATTATTTCCAGCCCTGTTTTTGTTGGGATTTTGCCAGGTGGTGCCGGGGAGCCGGGTCCTGGCTTGGGGTGTTCTGTAGCCCCGTTCATGTGCATGGAGTTTGTTCTGTTTGAATTGTACCAAGTGTCTTTTGCACAGCACAGAAATGTTGGTTTTTCTTTTTTTTTCTTTTTTGTTTTTTTTTTGTTTGGTTT